AGTACCTTAGTGAGGGAGTGAAGACATAACATATCTAGGTTTGGTTGTGAAGAAGAAACAGTAATTATTGCGTACTTTTCTGAGAGGTATGATGATGAGTTCAAAGAAGCAAAAGGCATCATTGCAGAATCAGAGGTAGCTAGAGAGAAACAGTCCCACCATAGTTCTGAATTCTCACATTCCACCATTTTAACCACATAGTGCTCACACAACCAGATCTCACTCTTCTGATAAAAATGGAAATGGTAAAGGGATCTATCAATTAATTCTTTTATGCAGTACAACCCTTTTGAGGACTCAAAAATCGGGGCCTCACCCTCCACTTCTTCCTCAACTTCTTGAATCAATTATCGAATCATTGTGCTCTCCATCATTAACTCCTCACACTTCAAATTCTCTTTACAATATGGTAAAAGGTTATAATTAAGTTACTTAGAAAAATATGAGATAGATAAAGTACTTTCTGTCTAATAATTTTGATGCATGAGGAATGTGAAGAAGAACGAAAGATGCTTCTGCTTTGGCATGAAAACATCCAAAATGTTGCAGAGATTAATTAAGAATAATTAGAGAAGTAAAAAATGGTTGTGGTTAATTAATTTTGCTTAAGTGTGTGGTAGTTTGGCTTGGTGTGGCATTGGTGGACCATGTAGGCACATGCAATTGAATACATTATCCCACTGGGGTAAGTGAAAGGATGGTATTGCCTATTGCCAAGACTTGCTCTGCTGTTTGGGGGCCCTCTCATCTCATCAAGCTTAACCCATTTTTGCCCCTTTCACTACTGACAAGTGGCATCCACATACCCAAAAAATATCAACTTTTTAACCATTTCCACCACTAACAAACATCTTAATGCATGTGAGTTTCATCATCCATCAATGCCTCAATTTAAGACCCAAAGCAACACGCAATATACATGATCTCCAAAGCTACTTGTATTTTTAACAAATTCAAACTCTACAAATTTGTTATATATGTTTCTCCTTTTTTTTTTCAATAAATGATTCGATAATGACAAATTTGTTAACATAGACTCTAATTCATGATTATGATATTATGTTAAAGTGAATTTTAAACCTAATTCAACTTTATAAAATCATAAGACAAGATTTATATTCATATATGTATACTTTAAAATTTTATAAAATCATAAGATAATATTTACATGTGATGTATATTTTAAATTGATTTTATCCTTATTCGATGTTAAGAAATGGACTTAAAGCTTAACTCAAGTTCATAAAATCGACTTGTAAGATGAGGTTTACATCCACTTATGTATTATAAATCGTTTTATTTCTAGTTAACGTGAGACTCCAAATGTCGATGTAAGATTTCCAACACTTTTAATTCATGGTAGTTGATTCACTTTTAATGGTTGAAGCTTGCGGTCGTAAGCTTATTCATAATACTGTGTTTCTCAGTCAAATTTCAATGCATGTGATAAACTTGGAGGACTTTTGTTGAGGTTGTTTGAGGAACATGAGTTAATTGGCTTGTCTAGGAACAACTGTGACACCAGCAACCAGAAGAGAACCTTTTATATTGATTGTAACTTATTTAGTCTTCTTCATTTGATTACAGTATTAATTTGTTGTAGCTAAGACTCCCTGGGGAATTGGGTGGAGGACATGAGTCTTGTGGTTTGTGGAGAACTGCTGGTATAGGGTCTCCATCTCAACCGTCTCCATCCAAGAGAATCTCTCTCTCATATTTAATGGCTAAGGCACATAAATGAAAACCAATAGACTTATTTGTACTTTTCTCACATATAAAACAATCACTGCCACTCTTACCTTATGTTTTCTGCAAACAATATATATACTCTCATCCTTTTACAAAATTAATTAAATATTAACACTCTTTTGTTAACATCCCTAGTTCAAAATTTATTGATATAAATTTAACTTTTGAGGACTTGGTAAAACTGTAAAAGGAAAAGTAAATGAAAGTGAGATAGACTCAATGTGTGTTAATAATAGAACTAAAAATAGAAAAGGTAAGAGAGTAAAAAAGAGTAACAGTGCAAGTCATTTCAGTCAAAAAGAAATATCAAATATGATCAAAGGAAGGAGCATCTTTCACTAGGCTTTAAAGACGTGCATCCAATGCGATGCAACACTTCAAAACATACATAATACATAAAATCTGTGTCGATCACTCTCATGTCCATAGCGTGCATTTCTCATGTCTATATCTGTTCTTATACTTCTTGCTTTTAGCAGACATTATTTCCTTTTTCATCGTTACCCTTATATTAATAATATTACCGACTAAAAGTAAAACTAATTTACAGTATTTTAGGGTTGATTTAAACTTATATGTACTCAATATATATATATATGTATGTGTGTGGGTGAGAGATTCCTTTTGCAAGAAAAGTGAATTTCATGTAATGCTGCGTCTCTTTCTACGAAACACAGATAACCTACGAAAAACATTCCACAAAATTTATTAGTTTTCTATTCATGAAACCAAAGTAAAACAGCATAATATTATAGTTATGAACAAAACCAAAACAAATATACACACGCCTTTTAAGCCCTACCTTGCTGCAACTAGTCAACGGAATACATGAGTATACATATATACTAGCCTATAGCCACTCAAAAAGATGGCAACTTTTTCAGTGGTTGTCATCTAAAACCCTTCCCCCATCACCTCGCTAATAGTATGCAAAGGATAGACTTTTCTCGACGGTTCTCCATGTGTGGAAAAAAAGGAGGAAAAACATAGTAAGATATTTCAATGGCTGTCATATAAATTTTACTAGGAATTGGCATGGAAATTCAAGAGAAGATATAAAGAAAGCTGCATATATTATAATATTAATCAAAATGGTCACTACCATACTACTGCAATTAGGCCATAAAAGGCATCGACCACACAAAAAGTTATCATGCAGGAATCATTCATGTCAACCCTCTCTTTTTCATTAGTAATAAAAAAAGTACGATATGACTTTGTAGAGGGTTATTTTGTTAGAGAACATTGTTTATACAAATCACTGGTCTACAGTCATGTTTTTCTGTAATAGCTACGCAAGGAAAACTTTACCTTTTCATAGACTAGATAATTTCTTGTACAGTATATTCTGCCGTCAATATTTTTCATCAGTTAAATAACTCGACAAAAACAAGAGTAAGATAATGTTTACGCGACAAATCGAAAAACGGGCCAGAACAACATCAAACAATCGTAGCCCGAAATCATATCAAGAAACTATAACTTCAAATATAAGTTCTGTAACATATAGTCTGACTGCATGTTTATCTTTTACATCTAAACAATGATTATTTTTCATGTAAATAGAAGCTGAAAGTAACGAATGATGAGATTGGGTTGTTGGTTTTTCTGTTAGCCTTTTATAATTAAAGCAAATAATTTTGGGGTACTTGACCTGCCATGTGTAGGTCATGTCATGGAAGAAAAAGGGTATTGAGGGTCCATTCATCTGAATCAAAAGCTGTTGTTTCCCATGTAGCTCTCAAAACCAAAAACTGTGGCAAGTGAAGACAAATTATAATATCAGAGAGTACAGAAACAAAAAGACTTGCCAGGTTCATTGAGAATATTGCAAGTGATTAAACTCTTTGCAGAAGTGTTTCCAGCGGGTTTATGCACGTTTCTCAAACTGCTGTTGCAATTTTATTGCTAAAAGCCAGGCAAACACATTCTTTCCACTTCCAAACTTTACGGACAAAATCATGCCATCGTTTTCAATTTTTTTTTTTATGGATAATACAAATGTAAGTGTTCGTCTACAATTGTAGCCGCAAATAATTTTTTATAATAGCATGTTATATTATAGAACACGTATTCACTTAATGCAAGTGATGTAATTTTCATAAAACCCCACAATATAATATACTATTCAAGATTGAAATATACTCTTGTTTTTTTAGTAACCGCCTCACAATAATAAATACAAACTAATTTACTTACTCAATATAGAACTGCGTAAATTCGCAAAATTAATTTATGCATTCCGTATAGAATCAAATTAAAAACAAATCCATTACTTACCTCTAAGAAATTGAAGCTACTATTAGCAATAATAAATATCCATTTTTCATGTCGTCCGAAATGTTGATTTCAGAATCCAAATACAAATCACGTACTTAGAGGATTGATACTAACATTTTAGGGATCCTAGAAAAAGCATTATATAAGGGTTCTTCGTGTATAAATATTTTAACAATTTTTTCTATTAAAAAATACATATTTTCATTAAAAAATTTAAATTTTATCGCATATAGTAAATAATAAACTTTTAATAAAATTTAAAAAGATGCGTTACCTCTTTTCTTTTACTAACTCTTATTCAACTTTTTTTTACCACTTTTTAAATCGTGGTTCCTTTATCACCTAGAATAAAGAACACAAAGATATAATAATAAGTAGTTTCCTGCATCATTTGTATAAACAAAACTATTAATAATAACATTATCATCATTTTCATAGTTTAAGTAAAAATATAATTTTTATGAATGTAAGAAGTACTTCGTTACTTTAAATGTCGAAAAGAGTGAAGAATAATTCCAAAAACATGTAAAAGGTTAGAATTTATAATAGTTAATCAAATAATTAAATGAAAGAAATTAAAAAAAATGTAAATAGTATATTTTTCTTAAAGCATCAAAATAACTACGCGGACTGCAGACCTCGCGCACTTAGAGGGTGCAATTGTTAGCACCATGCATGCACGGGTGATATCTATATACATCAACACAATACCATTAAGCTTAGACTGAAGCTTAATCTACAGTTAATTTCCTTTCTGATAATAACAAAATTATCGATTAAAGATTATTTTGATATTAAAAAAAAACTAATGTTTTTGCGATAGTCCAAGTTGTTTCCTCGGTCAAAGGACACGCAGTTATGATGATCAAGTCCAGTGCTAAGCCAAAATACCCGTTGGATAACATATCATTCCAGTGAAAAATCAGAATATGTTCTTCAGTGCAGTGCTTTGAAAGTAATCGTACACAACGTAAGCAATTGCCCAAGTAAAATATAAACATGATACCGAAACAAAGTAAAACACCACACCAAGTTGACACATGATTCAGTGGCACCAAGTATTAGGACAAACTCCAGCGTTAAAAATTTCTCTCAGCCACAAGTACATGAAATAATAACCGTTTTCTGCACTTGTACTTATTATACTTACTTGCTATTCTCATGAGCTACAGCAGCAATCTGGGTGTTGGTTTGTCCTAGCAAGCTGCTTATGGAACGCGCTTTTACAACGCCCAGCTTCATCCTCTTCTTCGTGATTATCTCCGGCTTCTTCTCCTCCTCCTCCTCCTCCCCAAAGGGCTCATCAACACTCGTATTTTGCTTCTCTAGAGAAGAAGAAGAAGAAGAAGAATGGTGGTGGTGTACGTGCACCTTCTTTGGTGCAGTTGATGCAATGGAACGGCTTCTAACACTTGTCATGCTTCTGAGTCTTCCCTTCCCCAAGTGATGCTCACACAGCGAGTAACCAACCAGAGTTTGCTGACAGCACCTCCATCCCCTCCCATTCACACGACTGCACCTAGAACCTTCCATGAGTGCACTACCCCTTACCCTCTTCTTACTCACATTCACGTTTACATCATCCACTTTCGTTTCTTCTCCCTTTTCTTCTTCGTTTTCCTCTTCCGTGCTATCCTCGTTGCGAGAGGAACACTTCTTGTTCATCTTCGTCTTCATCTTCGCCTTCGTCTTCCTGCTATGGGTGGCAGCAGTATTATTCTCCTCGAATGCCCCTCTCCTTTTCTTCAGCGGAATAACTTTCTCTTCCTCGTACCATCTGTCTGCAACGCATGAATAACACAACACGGTGAACACCTTTTCTTCGGCGGAATAACTTTCACATTCACATGCATTCGGTGTTAGCCATTTACCTTGAGTAGAAGAAGGGCTTAACGGTGACACCACCCCGGCTAGAGTTTCCAAACCCAAGTTGCGTCCTTTCCTACAAAGAAAGCAGACCCAGAAAGACCCAGAACCATAACATATGCATAGATGAACGTGAATACATAAAATTTACGGTAAAAGGATGGGAGACGAAGTGAAAATAATAGTGCAATGCTTCGAAAGAAGAAAACACAGTGTAGTTGGGGACCAGCATTTGCTGGTGGCTACTTGTGCACCTCTAGTGCAAATGGTAGATGTCCAATTTTGAGAAAAGAAACAAGGACTTTGGTTAGATATGTGGGAGAGCATATACGGTGGCTACACAAAACTCTTAATTAAAATCACTTCAACAGTATTTTCCACTGATGTATACATTTTTTTTTATAAATAATAATATTAATAAATATTTTCTTTTTTCATGCTAGTTAAAAACTTCAAATCTAGATATGGGTATCGGATTTTTTTCACCTTTTTTTACTACGAGACTTCATGAAAGAACAAGAGAAGGGGAAAACGATTTCTCTTTTTTGGTTCTTACCTGGTATGATTACCCTTCTCTCCGGAGTCTTCTCCACTTTCTTCCCTTCCAACAATAACCTCCTCCTGCAAGACCAACAAAACCAAAATATACATAGGATCTTGTTCTTGTCCCAAACATGCCCCTTTCTAGGTGTGCAAAAAACAAATTTAATAATTTTGAAAAATGAATAAAGAACGAATTTGAGACCAACGGGTAACCACTTGCGAGAGATTGGAAAAAAGTGCACTTGTAAAAGCCCACATCATGATATTTCGAAAAAACAAAACGGAAATAGTGAACCAATTTTTTTTTTAAAAAAGGGGAAACGGAAATTAAACAATTAGTGTTTGTGTGTGTTTTTACTTACCAAAGGGTCTTGCTTGTTGTGCTGTCTGTGTGCCCCACTTTCACCGATGCCGGAGGGATCATCCCAGCCGTTGCTTGGCTTCCCGATCGAAGGGAGAGACTGATCAGATGGCTGGCAACGATCCAAGCTCCACGAACCAGCATGGCGATGGAGCACTGCAGAAGAAGGAGAAGAAGGACGTTTCGCTGCCGTGGAAGCAGCCTCGCTTAGTTGCACCACCACCGGCGACCGGCTGATCAGGTGTGGATCTGACAGAGGCAACGGCGAGACCGACGACGGGAAAAGCACCGGCCTTTTCCGGATCCTCATCGGTGCAAAACAGAATCCCACCAGAAGATTCACTCACCCAAAACCGATCTTGAAGTTTCAGATTTCAAACAAAACCAGATAGAAAGAAAGATAAAGAAGGGTATCCATAAACCAATCTATAGCTACTGCATCTACATGCCCCTTCAAACACCAAGAAAAAAAATTATGCTTTTATCAACTCTTTCTCTCTCTCTCTCTCTCTCTTTCTATCTCTCACCCTTCACACACAAACGCATACCTACACTCTCTCTTTCTCTCTCTCTCTCTATCTATCTATCTCCATATATATTGCTTCCATGAGTTATTATTCTCTCTCTAACTTTTATTTGTTGCACCACAGAAAGGGAGTTGTATGGGTGAGGGACGGCACGTGCGACGGAGTCTTTGGGAGGAGGGGGCACGTGTGAGAGCGGCACCGGGTGGGACGGTAGCCAGTGGAAGAGAGAGAAAGAGAAAGGGACAGAGTACGACGAGGAAATGAGAGTGGAAGAAAGCGTTACATTACAAAATTACACCAATTTAAAATAAAGGGAAAAAGAAGAAAAAAAATTGATAAGAGAAGAAGGGAGTGGGTGGTGGCGTTATCGTTTATACTTTTAAGATGTGAGCCGGTGGGACCCGCAACCCCGACCCTCCTTAACCGTAACATTAACCTTCTTCACCTTTCTTCATGTCTTCTTCTCTTTCTATGCTCTTTCACCATTTTTTTATCCCTTCTTCATGTTCACCGTTTATTCAAGTGTTCATATCACAGAAAATTGCTGTTTTGCAAAAATAAATTTTCTTTTGGAAATCATGAATATGTTCTTGTTTATTTGGTTTAAATATGCTGCTTAAAAAGTGCAGAGAATATGGACTTTACGTCTGATGCTAAGATCAGATTTAGAACCTTTTTTGTATCAGATCAGACTCCCAGCACTCCTTCAAATATACCCTCAGGACTAACAACACTCACAAAAATTCATACAGGATCTTCCCGAGTTTAGATTATTTTTCGAAAGTTGTTTCCTTTTTAATTCGATTATAAAAGTTCATATAAAAAAAAACACTGCCATAAAAGAATAAAATAAACAGATTAGATACTGTCTTAATATCATTAAACATGAATCTTAGTATTATGAGCAGAATCTTGATATATTGTCTTATTTTCTCACTTCTTTATTACACAACAATTGCTTCGATTCCTTAACAAGCATTTCAACTTGATGAGAAATGCTAGCAAAATACATTTTAGATAGATTCTTTATTATTAATGAAAAGTTATGGAAAACTATAAAACAACAGGTGAAGTTCATCATCAAATTAATATTCAGTTGTGGTTCATCAAAACTTGTAGCTTTTAACTGATTTTAGTCAATAATAAAGAGTGTATTTAAAAAATTATATTTAAAACTTAAAAGTTTTGATATTTGGAAAAGATATTAATGTTTTACTTCTCTCAAATGAGAGGTGCCGCAATTTAGATAATGAAATGCACTTGTAATTATTTAGGAGATTAACGGTAGAAAGTTGAGATGATAAAATAAAATTTAATCTTTGAATAATTCATTTTATATTTTAAAAAGTATTGTTCTGAAATGTGAATCATAGTTTAAATTAGACATTAAATTAAATTTAAAACCATGAAAAGTCAACTGTGTTTGTTGACATAATTTGACGATAATACATGTGTGTCAGGACTATGACTTTCATAGACTTTTCGAAAGAGAATCACCTTATGAAATCAACCATTGTAGTCATATAAGAAATTAATTCCGAAGAATAATAAATGCTTTTAGGTTAGTATAGTTAAAATTATTCAATCAGCTTGTACCAAAATGTCATTGAGATTAAACAAAGGAAGAAGTTTCATGTCGATTAAAAATAGGGTAATTTTGTGGGATTGAGTTAGGTTTAAAGTCAACTTTTTAACATGTGTTGGAAGTTCCACATCGACTAAAAATAAGGTTAATTTATAAGATATAAGTGGGTGCAAACCTCATTTTACAAGTTAGTTTTGCTGGTTGAGTTAAGCTTAAAGTCCATTTCTTAATATGTATTGGAAGTCCCACATTGACCAGAAAATAAACCTACAAAAATATTAAATAAAAAATATAACAAAATACATTTTGGATTACTTATACCTTTCTATAAAGTTTTTTTTATAAAGAAGTTACACATGCCAACATTAGATAAAGTAATTGTCACATGACTTATTGACCAACATTACATACAATATTTTCCAACATATTACATATAAGATTGGTGAAATATTTGCCACATTACACCATTAATATCAATTTTGATAGAAAATGTTGTGTATGTTTGAGAATCAAGAGTCTAAGTTACAAATTTTTTATGTGAAAAAATAAATAACAAAAATATCAAACTATATAGTGAAAGTAATTTTTCCACATTTACAAAATTTTATGAAGAGTAAACAATAATAAAAAAAAATATAATAATAATCACAAAAAGGGAATGTTAATATTTTTAACGTGAAAAAATCATTTTAATGTGAAAAGTAAAAGTTCATATACATAAGCTAGAAAATCAAATTCTACTAATATCATATATGAATAAAGGATATTCAAATAAAAAATACAAACAAATATTTATAACCAATCAATAATTAAAAATATAACTCTAATAAATAAAGAAAAACTTAAAATAGAACAATGGTTCGAGACTGATTTATCTAACCTCAAACCTTTAGTTGAATTCCAATAGTCAAAATGAAGAACCTTATGTCTCGAACCTGTTATCAAAGTTTCAGTTCGATCCAACCGTGAACGAAGTGAGAATCGTAATTTGACTGAAGCAGCTTTGTGAATATGCCAACAAATTTTCTCTCTCTGTTATCAAAGTTTCAACCCGATCCAACCATGAACAAAGAGGGAATCGTAATTTTACTAAAGCAACTTCGTGAATATGCTAACAAATTTTCTCTCTCTTTTCTCTCCTCCATGGGTTGCAACTTACACATACTCTATTGATCTAAAAAACCCATTACCTTAACGTTTTGGTTGAAAATGGTGTCCATCCCATATATAGGTTGGGCTCAATTCTCATTGGTGTCATATCTTTTCAATAAATTCTTATATTGATAAACCCATCAATTGTATCAAAGCCAAGTTAGTCATGGTGATTGGCTTATATGAGTACAGTATAGTCCTTGTATCAAAAGTCTTTTTGATAGAGGGTTCGTGTAAGTATGTCTCATTAAGATGGATAATGGTACGAAATGAGTACTTATGATTGGAAATGTTTTCGCTTGAAGGGGAGTCACTAATGTAGTGAAAGGATACGATAATGGTTATTTTCGATAATTGGTAACGGTTTGAGAACCGAGACATATTAAGACGAGGTAAAAATATGGGAGCTTTTGCCCTCAATTATGAACTAAAACAAAAAGATCAAGATTTTACTTTGGTTAAGAAAAACCGAAGCACTAAACTGAAAATAAAAAATGAAAAAAAAAATGGGTTTTTTGGTACCGGTTCTACAAAGAACTAAGACCATAAATGATATCAGTTTTTAAATAATTATTTAATTTTAAAGAACTATGGTAGCGGTTCCCACCAGATTTCGTCATAGACAACACGATGTTCTTTCTCTTGATGCACAATCTAGGAGATAAGTTGTAAACTATCAATATAACGGGCCAACAACTATATCGTTGGTCTTAAACTACCAAATGGGTTCATTCCATTAGTGATTAAACAAGCTGAATATTTCTACATTCTTGATCGAATTGGGGCAATTCAAGACAATTATTTTTCCATTGCATTGAATTAAGTGGATGACAAAACAGACTGTCAGTTGTTCTCTCATTTGCATCTCATCTAAGGTTTTTAGCGCCTTTTGAATTTGCAAACAGATGTTTAAGTCTAGCCACGATTGAAAGGTATCAAACTACTTTTAAAGCGGAATTAACCTTTTCTATCTGACCACTATCTTCACTTTTGTTTTTTGGCTTGTATCGTGATAACCCATATTTTGAATATTTTTTCAAACCTTTGACTTTTTCCTATATAATATACAATCATTCGGACATGCATGTATCCTTTTATACTTCATACACATTGGACAAATAATTTTCTTTACATTATAATTATGATTAGGTAGTGCATTTCTATCTGGAAGCATTTCATTCAACAACGACAATAATTCTATGAAACTCTTATCGATCCATCCATTGGTCACCTTCAAATTCATGAGCCTTAACACCGTTAACAAACGTGTGAACTTAGTTGAACCAACATACAAAGGAGTCTTTGTGTCAGTGAACATCGTCTCATACACATGCGCTTGGGAAAAAGCTTTTGTGCCAACATCGCGAATCATGTCATCAATTTTGTCTTCTTTCGGTCAATCTTCCATGGTAGAATCGAATACATGTTCAGTTCGAGAGACAGATGGAAAGTGTAATTCTTCGTGCTATGTCCATGTTGTATAACTTTGAAGGAAACCATCACGAATAAGATGTTCTTTAATTTTTGTTGCGTTCAAGTTTCTCCCATTCAAATAGTTAACACAAGAACATATAAACTTCACTTCGTCATCACGTCTACCATCATTATGTTGCGCAAATTGTATAAATTATTCTACTCTTCTCTCATACTCAGTATTGATACATTGTGATTTAATCCAATTTCGATCCATAAGTATATATACTGAAATTGTTCACATAATTTCAGTAATCTTGAATGATAACTTCGATCACTTTTGTATTCAAGGTTTGACCATATCTCATTCAAGAAGATTCACTTTCTTTAGTTTATAGTACATATAAATTAAAAATAATATATCTTAAATTTAACGAAATTTTGTCAGCATTTCGCATTGGTTTTCAGGTTACACGAAATGAAAGTGATTACAAACCACAATCAACTATAAATCCGAAGATCAATACAAAATACAATTGCAAATATTCTCATGAATTTTAAGACATTTATATATAAAACTTATATGCAATAATAAACTATGAAGAAGCGATTAATCTTCTTAAACTATCTAACCAGACAATTCAAGATTTTGTTAGAAGTTTCACATCGACTAGAAATAAGACCAATTTAGAGTATATAAATGGGTGCAAATCTCACCTTACAAGCCGGTTTTGTGGGGTTAAGTTAGGCTTAAAGTCCACTTCGTAACATGGTATCAAAGTCATGTTAGAGCCTATCCTAGCGATATTTGTTGTTTGTTGGGCATATTGTTCCACCCACTATCGGACCGTTATCGGACCATCTATTAATGTCTAGTCTCACGCTAGAGATGTATATAACTCGACGTGAGGGTGGTGTATTGGAAGTCTCACATCACCTAGAGATAAGGTCAATTTAGAGTATAAAGTGGGTGCAAACCTCACCTTACAAGGTGATTTTGTGGGGTTGAGTTAGGCTTAAAGTCCATTTATTAATACTTATAAATTATTAGTACCGACTCTTCTTATATTTATTTAAAAAAATACATTTCTTTAAGAAACTTGGAGATAATAAATAATTTTTATATTGAATCTCAAACAAGAAAAGAAAACTAACTTAATACAACAATATATTTAAGCATACAAT